TATAATATCTTTCTATCTATGTCTGTCTACCTATCGATCTATCTATCTATCTAGTCTATCTATCATCTGTTTATTTTGTTTTTTGAGACAGGGTCTCATTATATAGCTCTGGCTGGCCTGAGACTCACTATGTAGACCAGGCTGGCCTGGAACTCACAGAAATCTGTCTGCCTCTAGAGTGCTAGGACTAAATGCATGTGTCACCATGCCCAGCTCTTTTGAACAATGCATGTTTATTCAGGTGATATAAATTCTTAATATGTTTTATTTTATTTATTATTAGTATATACACACACACACACACACACACACACACACACACACACACACTTGCACGCCATAGTGCTCGAGGGGAGGTCAGAGAGCAACTTTCAGGTGTTGACTCTTCTTTCACTTCGTGTTTCAGGAACTGAACTCAGGTGATCAGGCACACACAGAAGTACTCTTATCCCTGAACTATCTCACCAAGCCTATATTATCCACTCTTTCAATTTTCATTTTTTGGCCTTTTTGAAATAGGGTCTTCCTGTAGTTCTAGCTGGCCTGGAACTCACTATGTAGACCAGGGTAGCCTTGATCTTAGAGAAATTCACCTGCCTCTGCCTTTCAAGTGCTGGGATTAAAGGTGTGCCCTGGTCTACTCTTTAACAACTGGATAGATACAAATTGATATCACTTTCTACATGAGTTTCACATGTATTTCCCTGGTTATCTAGTGAGATTGAATGTCTCTTTACATGTCTCCTGGCTATTCATATTTTTCATTTGTGAATCACAGATCTATGAGTTTTAATGTTAACATTTAGCTAGCTGACACCACTTACCTGTTTGTATTCTTTCCATGTTGATTTGTAGGGTACAGATAATATACACTAAATTTGTGTGCATACATCCAAAGTTTTACTTCTGTCCTACTCTTATATTTTCTTTCAATGACTAGTACGCACTGCTTGAATTGCTAAGATGTTGTAATGTAAGCTTTGTATTTCTACAAATAAAATATTTTAATTATTATGGATATAGTTCATGAATTATATAATTCAATATATACATATTACATATAATGTAATAGACACACGAGGTATGTTTGATGCTGGTGATTTTTGTTTACTTTTTGGTTTTCTTCCATTTGTTTTATGTTGTTGTTTTTCTGTTTGTTGTTACTGTGCTTCATTCAAAATTTTCCTGGCTATTATTGTTCATTGTCTTTTATTTATTTAAGGGAAAAAATTGAGACATAGTCTCACATAACCTAGACTGACCTTAAACTTGCTATGAACTTTTTTTTTGATCGTCCTGCCTGTGCCTCCTGAGTGTTGGTCCATGCAGTGCTGGGGATGGAGCCCAAGTCTTTGTGCAGGTTAGGCAAGCATTCTATAAGTGGAATTGTTAGATGGCTTTTTGAATGACTTTGCCAAATCCCAGTTCCTCCTTCTCCACTCCAAAGTGTGGGTAATTTTATTAAACATCTTCTGTCATCTTTCTTTTATTTCACTAATCAGTTTTTTTCTATACTAATTCAAATTCATTTTGAGTTAATTCCATTCTTGCTTTTCTAGCTGAGTTGAAAATTTAACTCATTTTCTTTAATATTTTGCTAATAAGTGCATACAAAGATGTATATTTCCCTCTGAAATGGCATTGGCTGGAGCTCATCGGCTTGACATGTATGCTTTCAATATTGCTCCTTACTGATGAAATTTTCACTTATCATCTTGTTTTTAAATCAAAAAATTATCTAAAAACACTGTTTTAAATGTGAACATTTATTTTGACCTTTTTGGTTTTTTTTTCTGTGGTGGGTGTCCAACCTAGGGCATCGTACATGCCAGGAAAGTGCTCGGCCCCCAAGCTATACCCCCAGCCCTCGGTAGTTTGTTTTCGATTTCTAACTCTGGCTGCCATTAGTTATATTTTGTGCTTGTACCATTTCTGCTTCCCTGAGAATTGGGACTTTTTGCACCGCCTAATACATGGTCAGTCTGTAAGACTGTCCCATGTGGGTTTGAAAAAAATTTATAGTTTTTAATCATTTGGACACAAATTTTCTATACATCGAATTAGCTAATCCCATTGGGGAAGAATAACCTAGATCATATTTTTTTTTCTTTTCTGACTTATCTAATTGAAAAGAAAAAGCATTTATCTCTGGCTCCTTTCAGTTTTTCAATTTAAATTCTGCCTTATTAGATGCTGTTACTCATCTTTTGTTTCGACTGTTTCCCTACAGTTTCCTTTTAAAACTTTTAGTTTCAGGACTCTATGTTTAGGTATATCTCTCCTGACAGACTATGGTTAGAATAACTAGACATGATATTTCATGTCCTGGCTTATGACTAATTTGAACCTATTTCACATGCACTATGCTTGAGGATATAGTTGGTCTTACCATCTTAACTTACGCATTTTGTTTATTGTGATAGTGGGTGAAAACCACCTCCTCATGTTATCCCCACAGGCAGTGTAGATGCTCAGCAAATGTACATTGGAATAAAGCTCCCATATCCCTAGTTCTGGTCTGATCTGAAAAACAGCTTAGTGAAAAAAATCACTCAATTGTAACAGGGTTCAAATGATTAATAAATGAAGTAATGATATCAAGTCTTCTCCATCTATAAGATCCAGAAGTGTTAGGGAGAGTGGTGATGAAGGGAAAGATCTTGGAATGGGAGAACCAGGTCACACATAGCACCAGCACAAGTCTTGCCCCTCAGGACCGTACACTCTGAGGGATGCCTCCCTGGCACAGTAAGTCACAGCTTTAGTTTCCCCATTGGGACCTCAGATTTCTTGGTGTCTTGACCAAGTGTTAGAGGATATTTTTAATTGGATTATAGTAGCATGAGCTTTACTGCAGAGTGATCTTCCAACAGAGCTATGTTGTCAGGGGCGACACACATGTAATGGCAGATGTATTGAAGGGCAGTTCAGACAGCTCACAGCCCATTCGACATCATTTTCTTGCCTTAACTGGCAAACAAATTGGGAAAAAAAAATCATACATTCACGTAGTGGGAAGAGCACACGTCTGAGATGGAGGACCTCTCAGATTTAACTGTGACAGTCAAGTTCATCAACACCTCCAGACATTTCTTTCAATACAAATGTGCTGGATTAGTTGATCTCTCAGGTTTCTTCCATCTCTAAAATGCTGCCAGTGTGAGTCTGAAAAAAATCTTATGCAAAACTCTAAGAATAGTTCACTTAATCAGCACCCTGAAAGTTTTGCCCTGAGCTACTTGCAACTCAAAACAGGTTTATCTTAATCAGTTATTTACCACAAGTTCTGTATCTGTTATCCAGAATGCTTGGGACCAGAAGATTTCAAATTTAGGATTTTTTTCAAATTTTTGAACATTTGTATATACACAATGTTGGTCATCAGACACAAGTATAAACACAGAGTTCATTTCATGTATACATAGTTTTGAAGGCAGATTTTATATAGTATGTTTAATAATTTTGTTCATGAAACTACATTTTGTGGTATATAATTTTTTACTTGTGGCAAAATGTTGGCTCAAAAAATTACCTATTTTGGAGCATTTTGCAAACAGGATTTTGAAGTAAGGGATACTTAACAAGTATATCATCCAGATTTCATAGTTTTGAATGTTGTGCTAAGCATTGATGCAAGCTCTGTGTGTGTGTGTGTGTGTGTGTGTGTGTGTGTGTGTGTGTCTCACTGTATAGCCCAGGATAGCCTTGAGTTCACTGTAATTCTCCTGCTTTATCCCAGTATTGGAATTGCAGGTGTCTGCTGCTACACACAGGTGCTGTGTGCATTTTTAAGCCATTGTTCATCAGCTAGTTCCTGGCTTGAGAAAGAAAATACTGTCTCCTGTTTAGTTCTTCTTCAGCGGGAGCAGTGCCTGTGAGTGCCTGCCTGGAGTATGCAAGCCCCCCCCCCTCACTTCCTCATCTCCCATTTCCTCGGAAATGACAGCAACTTGCAGCATTGTTGAGCTGGGAACACCCTTTGCTTGAATTTCAGTCAGAAGTTTAGAGGTTTGATGAAAGGCTATGGGTTTGACAACCATAAGAACATGGAAGCCATGAGCTTATCTGTGATTTGACAGCATGGATTGCACAGAATGACCATGAAAAGACAGAACTTGGTAAAGCACAGGGCATATCCTTTATCCTTAGCACTTTCTTCCTGCTTTCTACAAGATTACCTTTGGCTCTGACAGCCATCTCTAGGATCTCTTTGGGAGAAACTGAACATTGGTTATAATCTATTCTTTTGGGGCTATGGTACAGAGATAAGCCCTCTAAAGACCCCTAAATGGTCTTTGAATATAAGGAAGCAATGTAAAGGATTCAGCCCCTCTGGCACATATACACACCAGTGCTCCTTGAGTTACAATGGGGTTATGTCTCAAAAAACCAATTGGAAGTTGAAACTGTTATAAGGTAAAAGTGCTTTCAGTGCACTAGATTACCAAATATCACAGCTGCCTGTGCATTGCAGTGCTGGCTGGTTTGCTGTGACTGTGGCTGGCTGGGAGATGCTTCTCAAAGCCATTCACTGTCACCATGAGAGAGGACAGCATACAGCTAGCCCTGGAAAAGTTCCAAATTCAAAGTATAAAGAACAGCTTTTACTGAATATGTGTTACTTTTTCACTGCTGGAAAGTCAAAAGATCATACATTAAACTCTTGTAAGTCATGTATCATTTGCATAGCTTAAGTAGCACATTTGACAAAAACTTTGGAAGGAATTTCAATATATTTCAAATGGAGTTTAACGCCTAGTGGCATGACTGCAATCTTCTTACAGTCCTTTCCAAAAATGTCCACAGTTAAATTATTTGAAGAATGTCTTTTTTTAAAGTGTAGAAGTGAATTCTCTGTTCTCTGCTGGGAGACAGGGATCCCTGTTCTTGCTGGGATGGTGACTCTTGGCAGCCAGGGTCCCTTGGACCCACCCACCCCAAAGCAGTCCCCCAACCCGTGGCTATAACCAGCTTTCTTAACCAAGCGTTCTTTTCCTCAGAATGGCTGCAGTCTGTCCAGGCCACCATGATCCTCTCCGTCATCTTCAGCGTCCTGTCCTTATTCCTGTTCTTCTGTCAGCTCTTCACCCTCACCAAGGGAGGCCGGTTTTACATCACTGGATTCTTCCAAGTCCTTGCTGGTAAGTTATGGATGGTAAAGTCAATGTGGATTCTGAGCCTATCTAAGAATGTGGTCTCAGACCATTGAATATTTTTCATGAAGTTTTCTCTCTCTCTCTCTCTCTCTCTCTCTCTCTCTCTCTCTCTCTC